CCGCCCAACCCCCCTGATCATCCTGCGGCTCTGTGTGTGTGATAGGGGGCTGGGCCAAAACCTCCCTATCCACCCTGTGAGAGGGCACAAGCCGGGCTGAGGGACCTGCCTCCCCCCCGAGTGCACTAATTTTTGTGCACCGGGCCTCTAGTATATACATATACATATATATATAGTGCTTAGCACAGATAAGCACTTAATAAATTAAAGATGTTGCTTTATAATTATAATGACAAATGCTCACTCTTGTTATTCAAGTTAAATTGAGGCAGAGGCTTTGGTTTCATGTAAGGCCAGTAGGGTGAAGGGTTTAGGGCAAGCCAACAACTCCAAGGCTAGGTGAGACCCCAGCTGGATGAGGCATGAGGGCTGGGTCTTTGAGGTCAGGACTCAGCCTCTCTGTTCTCCAAGGGAGCGTTCTCCCAACTGCCTACCTGTCTGGGCAGGAGGAGCCCAGGATGGACCGGCTGAGCCTGCACCATATCCTCTACCCGTGGAGTAGACAGAGGCAAGAGGCGGGAGCGGGTGGGGAGACTGTCAGAGCATCCGGGATCTGTGTGGGGCCTCTTCCTGGAGGAGGCTGGGGCGTCAGGTCCAAGGTGGGAATGGGTGGAAGGGCTGTTGGGGGGAAAGCCCAGGGCCCAGGGCGGTGGAGAGAGAGTGGCTGTCTCTGGGCACAGCCCCAGCCTGGAGTGGGGGCAGGGGGGGGCGTCTCTTCACGAGGCAGCCGGGCCACGGGGGTCATGTCTCTGACTGGGCCTCACTCGTACCTCCTGTGTTTTGATAGAGAAGTGGGACGCCTTCATCAAGGAAACCGAGGACATCAACACGCTCCGGGAGTGCGTGCAGATCCTGTTCAACAGCAGATATGGTGAGTGGGCGGCGGCCCGCTGTGTGGCCCTGGTGGCGTGTTGAGCATCTCATTACGTGGCAGTCACTTGTGTTCCCTAACATGACAGCCAGAGCCATATGCTGGCACCCGCATGCCATCAGCGCGAATGTCATCTCCTGTCTGAGGAGGGGGTGGCTGTGTCAATATTTCCCTTCTAGATTCTCCGGGGGGTGGGGCTGATGGCAGAGGCCCAGACCTTGACTCACCTGTGGGAGGCAGGCAGATCGGGGGGCAGGCAGTCAAGTGAAAAATGGCTGCGTGCAAATTCCCCACAGCACCGTGCCCCTGCCTGCCTCCTTGCCTTTGCCTGTGCGGTGCCCTCTGCCTGGCATGCCCTGTGCATCTTTTGGAGGCAAAGTCCCACTTGTTCTGTGAGACTTATCCTGGGCTAGGTGGGCCTCCGAAGCGAAGCCCTGTCAGGTATGGTTGAAAGGGGCTTCTTATGAATAACAAAGGCTGCCCTTCACACACACACACACACACACACACACACACACACACACACCTGTCAGTCACTTGGGGAGAGTACAAGGGTTTTGTGAGTCCTTGCGCCAGGAACCAGAGTTGAAGACTACAGACATACGTATTACATCACGTATCGGTCTTGCTTTCTCCCTTCACGCACATTTATTGATCTGCACACTTACCAGTCGTGCATCGCAAGCGCCCCTCCTTGTGCCAGGCTCCCAGGCCAGCTCTGGTCTCTGTTGTTGCAGCAGTTGCTGAAGCTGTGTCTTTGGTAGCAGGCAGTGCTGCACAGCCACACACTCCAGTGTGGGGTAGCACACAGGAACGGGAGCCCTCAGAAAGAGGCAGCTCAAAGGAAGGCGAGTTCTCAGCAGGCTCGGGGAGTCATGGATGGCTTCACGGAGGAGGTGCCCTTTGATCCAGGCTGGAGCTGAGGAGGCCTGGGCACATGGGCTTGACAGTTCCAGGTTGGGGCGGGGCTGAGCAAGGCCCTTGGGGCCTTAGTGAGAAGTCTGGGAGAGGCTGGGTGCCTTTGATGTGGCCACGAGGGCCCACCCACTCCGCCCCTCTGCCCGGGACTGGAGGGCTGTCTGTCTGCACCTGAGTCCTCCAGGCCCCCCGGCAGGTGTGAAACTGGGTGGGAGGCAGGGGGAGGGAGCTGGGGAGGGCTCTGCCCCAACCCCGCTGGCACGCAGGCACCAGTTTTCAGGCTTGTTGTGGGCTCATGATGTTTCCGGAATGTGGAACCTTTTCTAGACATCAGCACCTGGGCCCACCACAGCCAGATCCAGGCAGGAATGTTGGACTTAGAGTGGCCCAGGTCTTGCCCTTTCTCAGCTTTCCGGTCAGCTGCCCAGGGGAGGAGGAGGCTCCCTGTGAATATTGGGGAGAACATTGGGCGACCTGAGGCATCCTGCAGACCCCGGATGAATAGATTCTGCTTCTGGTTTTGTCTTTCCAGCTACCAATTCTGGGGGAGGTGATGTGGCTGGGGTGCAGAGGGAAAAATAACGAAGAAACTGGGGGCAGCCTTTAGGGAGCCTCAAGGACGCTGTTGCCTGGGAAACGTAGAGGCTAGACGAAGGATGTCGGATGGTGCATGGTGGCTTGGTTCTCCCTTCCCAGCCCTGCTGCAGCTGGGGGCTGGGCAGGGTCATGCCTCCGTCCACCGGAGCCCCTTGCTGCTGAAAGGCAGGCCCAGCACATCTGATGAACCTCAGTGGAGATGGATTTACGTAGACTCGAGGAACCTATTGCTCGAGTGCTGGGGCTGGGGCGTGGCTGGCGATGTTGGAGGTGGGGAGTCGGGGGCAGAAATGGTTTGACAGCTGTTGAGATTTCGAGGGTTTAATTTGACAGTGAGTTAAGTGTGACTTCACAGTGGGATCTGGCTGCCAAAGCCGCCAACGCAGACCTGGGCTGCATCAACAGGAAAACAGTGTCGGCAGTGTCCCAGGAAGGGCCCCAGACAGTGCTGCTGTGCCCTGGTCAGGGCACGGCTGCAGGGCTGGTCGTTGTCAGGACAAAGACAAAACCTGGTGGGGACACAGACAAGGCCAGGATGGGGAAGGGCCTAGGGAGCAGTGAGAGATGTGGGACCCTTGGAAGAGAACAGAGTAGCAAGGCAAGAGTGGACACTGGCCCTGGCTGGTTTGGCTCAATGGATAGAGCGTCGGCCTGTGGACTGAAGGGTCCCAGGTTCGATTCTGGGCAAGGGCACATGACCCAGTAGTGGGTGTGCAGGAGGCAGCCAGTCGATGATTCTCTGTCATCATTGATTTTTCTATCTTTCTCTCCCTCTCCCTTCCTCTCTGAAATCAATAAAAATATATTTTTTTAAAAAAGAGTGGACACCCAGCCCAGCTCATCGGAGAACAGGGGGCACATGAAAGCACCATCCAACTCTGGCCAGGTCGCTCCGTTGGTCAGAGTGCCATCCGTACACCAAAAGGTTTCGGGTTCAATTCCCAGTCAGGGCACATACTTAGGTTTTGAGTTTGATCCCCGATCCAGGACCAGATGGGAAGCAAGCAATTGATGTTTCTCTTCCTTTCTCTCTAAAAATCAATTTTTTAAAGTGCCATCAAGCACACAGTGGGTGCTCAAGTAGTGTTTGGTGAGTGAATGAATAAGCACATAGAGAGCTGGGGTGTGAGTGAATGTCTGAAATGCCAAGACCACACCTAATAGTCCAGAGGAAGAGAACAAGTGACCACTCATGAGCCCGGGTTCTGTTGGCAATGCTGTCGGCAATGCTGTCAGCTTCCGGCCCGGATCTCATTGATGTCACTGAAGAGTGAGAGGAGTGCCAGGCCCTCACTGGAGGATAAGGCTCACCGGTGTGGCCAGCGGCATCCGGCCAGAGCCACCTGGAGCCTGGGGGCTTCCTGCAGCCATTCACTCACTCAGTGGAAATGCAAGGAGCACTGTGGTGTGCCAGCCCCATCTGGATCCCAGACGTGGGCAGAGAGAACACCCTGCTCCCGTGGAGCTTAGGTTCCAGACAGTACACCAGTGACTAGACGAGCATGTCCGCAATGGCAGGTCCTGTTAAACTCGGGGTGAAAAACAAAGCGGGGTGGGCTTGGGAGGGGTGGAGGGGGCTGTTTCAGGCTATTGAAGTGGCATTTGACAGACACTTGGAGAAAAGGAGAGAGGGGAGCATCTGGTTACGTGGGAGGAAAGTGTCTGAATAAACGGGAGAGCAGGAGCAAAGGCTCTGGGGTGGATGTGTGCCTGGCCTGTTAGGAAAGCAACAAAAAGGCCCGGAGACTGGAATGAGCAAGCAGCAGGGTGAAAGGGGTGGGGGAGATAAGGTCCCAGGTGATGGGGTCCTGGTCCCATCGAGCCTCGGAGGCCCAGGTAGGACTTTGACCATCCTTGAGTGAGATGGGAGCCTGTGGGCATTTTCCAAGAGAGATTATGTGATTTGACATTTCAGCATGGCCACTGGGTGGCCAGAGGTGCCGGGCGGTGGGAGGTGATGGCAGCCACGGCCCTGGGGCCCTGCGTGTCCTGTGGCCTTCGTCTTGCACTCAGCCTTGCCATTGCCCTTCCAGCGGAAGCCTTGGGTCTGGACCACATGGTCCCCGTCCCCTACAGGAAGATTGCCTGCGACCCGGAGGCTGTGGAGATCGTGGGCATCCCGGACAAGATCCCCTTCAAGCGTCCCTGCACCTACGGGGTTCCCAAGCTGAAGCGGATCCTGGAGGAGCGGCACAGCATCCACTTCATCATTAAGAGGTGCTGGGTGGGTTGCAGGGGGCATGACCTTTGTTCCACGCTAGGCCTGGGTTGGTTCAAGGTATTAGGGCGTGAAGGCTGGGCAGGGGCAACAGCAGGCATGAGGCAGGGCCCTGGAGAGGCGACGATGGGGCGGGGATGGAATGAAGTGGTTCTCTGACTTCAGGAGAGAATCAGGCAGACCTGGGAGGGAATTCTGACCCTTTAACCTAACAGCGGTGTGGTCTCCTTTTGCCTGGGGAGAGGTTGGCCCTCCTAGCTGGCAGGAGAATTGCCCTCACAGGTACTGGACTCACCACCAAGCTTGTACCAGCAGTTCCAGGCAATGCCCAGACTTCCCGGATGATCCCTCCTAAATGGTTAGAGACGGAGGGGTGGCCAGAGGCCGAGCCCGCCAGCCCCCTGCCTCCAGGCAGCACTGCATGGTCCCTCCCCAGACATCTGTTCTGGATGTTTCCTCTTGGCGGTGTGAGCTGGTGCATTCATTTACTCATGTGCCTGCTCGCTTATTTGTTGCCACTAGACTATAAAGTAAGCAGGGACCGTGGACAGGGCTGTGCTTGGCTCATTACTGAATCCCCAGTGACCATGACAGTCCCTGGTAGGTAGTAGATGCCTAATACAGATCTATGGAATGCGTGAGCGAATGCACGCATGCATGCTTGGCCAAGTTGGGCTCATACCTTCTGACTTCTTAGAGCTTAGGAAATAACCTGGGTAATGGGAGAAAGAGAAATGGGTTGAGGGCGCCGACTTAGGGTGGTCAGGGGCCTCTGAGAGAAGGCCCCATCTGTTAAGCCAGAGCTGGGAGTTTGAGAAGGGTGGGCCCGTTTAGAGCTGGGCAGTGTTTGGGCAGAAGGGATGGCCTCAGCGAGCAGCCTAGATTCCCCAGGGCTGCAAGGAGGCCGGGCGTGAGCAAAGGTTGAGAATTGCTCTAGGGTGGTGGGTAGGACTTCTGCAGGGCGGGTAGAGGCCAGAGGCGGGGTCTCACAGGCCCTCTGGCTGCGGGGAGACTTGAGCAGAGGTGGGAGACTGGCAGGAGGCTGAGCAGTGAGCCAGGCCAGCGTGGCTGGTGGAGGGAGAGAAGTGGCGGGATTTGGGACAGATGCTCAGCTGTGATGGGGTTTGCTGGTGGATGGAATGTGGGAGCCGGGAGGGGAGCAGGGAGACAGGGATCACCCCCATGTTTCCGAGTGAGTTCACGTTGGATATGTGAACTCAGGGAAGATCAGGAGATGACATTCTCAGAGGCCAAGTTGAGATGTCAGGAGCTCTGGAGAGAGGCCTGGGTTAGAGATAAAAATCTGAACATTGTCAGCCTGGGCCAGGAAGGGATCTCAGGGAAGAGAGGGGTGGAGATAAGAAGGGAAGAGGGCTCATGTGAGAGGCCTGGGCGAGGACAGAAGGCCGAGGCAGCTGGCCAGGACTGTGGGTGGGCCTCCCGGTGCCTCCCAGGAGATGATTCTGGAAGTCAGGGCTGATAGTGTGGGCCTCTGGCCCTCAGGGTGAGGGCACACTCTGGCCTGTTGGCAGCCACCGAGCCAGCCTTCTTGCTGCCCTGCCTTCCCACATCCCCAGGAACTCCTGCCACCTCCCCTGCCTGTGGGCCTTGGCTGAAGCTCTTCCTCCACCTGGACCAGCTTCCCACCTGTCTCTGCCTTTCAAGGCTTGCTTTTGTTTTTCTCAGCGTCTGGAAGACCACGCCCCCTTCCTTCATTAGCACACTCCTTGCTTACCTCTGCATTGCAGCCATTTCATGCGCTTTTACAACCCTCCTGTGGAGCCCACTTGATGAATGATTCTGGAGGTGCATTGTGGTCAGTCATCAGGCAGTGTTACTGCTGTCTAGCTTAAATCCCTCTTGCTGTTGCCTAAGTCCATTTTCTTCCGTTGACTCTTAGTAGGGGGGTAGGGGAGAAGAAAACAACAAGGACCTCCCAGTGTCCCCTTATGTGCTTAACCGTGTGTTTCATCTCCCTCAATCCAAACTATAGCTCATTTAATTCTTCACTAGCATGTCCCTCCTACACGCTCAGCCCTTCACTAGCTCCCCTGAAGATTTTATGAAAGAGCAGGCATAGTCCCCACCTGCCCCCAGAGGCCACTGCCCATCATGAGGAGTGGTCACTTCGAAACGTTCCCGGTGTAGACTCAATGGTATTTGAGCAGCAAACCCATGGGGCTTCCTGGAGGAGGCAGCTTTGGCATCAGATGACTGGGCTTGAAGCCACTCACATCTTTTTTCTTTTTTAATGTATTTTTATTGCTTTCAGAGAGGGAGAGATAGAAACATGAATGATGAGAGAGAATCATCTATCAGCTGCCTCCTGCACACCCCCAACTGGGGATCGAGCCCATAATTCCAGCGTGTGCCCTGACTGGGAATCGAACCATGACTTTTTGGTTCATAGTTCGATGCTCAACCACTGAGCCACACTGACTGGGTGACCACTCACATCTTGATAACGTTGAATAGCAACTTCTCTTCTGAGCCTCAGTTTCCTCCTCTCTAAAAACAGGAACAGTGGTTTTCTTCAACATAAACTGAGGAAGTGGACGTAACACACCTGACATGCTCCATAAACACCAGTTCTCTTTCTTGACCTCACTTCCCTGATATATAAAGTAGTAGCTAAGCACATCAGCCCTGATGGCCTAGGTTCCAATTCTGGCCCCACCATTTCCCAGCTATTGAGCATCGGCCTATGAACCAAAAGGTCACGGTTCGATTCCCAGCCAGGGAATCGAATGCTTGGGCAAGTTACTTGACTGCCTTGTGCCTCACTTGCCTCATCTGTAAAATGGGGCTATAGTGATAGTCCATGCACTAAATGACTAGAACAGTTGCTGCTCCGTTCTGAGCCCTGTGTACATTTCCCACTACTACACATCTCAGCCTCATCAATAGAGCATCTGGGATCATTCTAGCGACCTGGGTCAGAAAAAAAGGGGGCTTAGGAAGCAGCCAGAAGGTGGAGTCTCTGCCTCAGCCTAGGTGTCTGCCCAGGGTGGGGAGAGGGCAGGGTGCTCTCCTACAAAGGGAGAAGCCCCTTCTCAAGGCCTGTGCTTCTTGTTGGTGGCAGGGGGCTCCCTGGCCCCCAGGTTCACACTTGTGCCGAGCCCTGGCCTCCAAATCCCCTGTCCCTCCAGGACATGAGCCCCTGGTGAGGGCATCCGAATTCACACCGGAGGGGCCAAATGTCAGTTCCACCTGAGGCAGAACTTAAGAGGGAAAGTGTGTGGCCTGTGCGGTGGAAGATTACAGTTACGTGGTCAACACCCATCCAACGGCCCTCACGCTAGGCAGCCTGCGAGAACGTCCGTCACAGTCTTGGAGCCACCATCAGACCTTCTCCCTGTCATCTGCCCCCCAACTCCACCGGGGAACTGTGCGAGCCCCATCCTGTGCTCCCCATAAATAACTAAAACCATAAATAATAAAACCACAGGGACGCGGGCAGCCTCCGGTCCCTGGGAGAGGCTGAGGAAGCCACTTTCCTCCAGAATTCCTCCCTGGCTGCTCTGGGCCTCGTGGGACCCAGTGCGCACGGGCCTCTGGGAGCAGCAGGGGAGCCGGGCCTCTCGGAATGAGAACGGGAAGCCATGCCTGGGGTCAGGTCGTGCTGTGGTCTCACCGCCCCGGTGACTGGGCCCCACATCCTGTCGCTGACTCTTTTGCATGTGTTTGACTTTTCCATGGGGCCCAGCTTGGGCATTGCCCCTTGTTTTTGGACTCAGACCTCCCTTTCATCGGTCCCATGTCGCCGCTGTAGCCTGAGTTCAATGACTGAGGCCTGGTCCCCTTGTCCAGCCATTCCCTGGCACACAGGCTTGACTGCAGGCCCCAGACCCACTGCCCAGGACTCCCCAACCCACTGGGTGCCACCCTGGTTGGGACTGAGGACAGACCACCAGGCCTGGAGGCAGGTGGGCAAGTAATCCCAGTCCACCTTGCCCACCTTTCCTCCATCCTCATTTTCCTGGCCAAGTTTCTAGGTCTCTCACCAGCATGACTCAGGGGTCTCTGACTGGCCCAGCCTCCCAGCCATCCCCCTTCCAGTCCATTCTCTGGGTAAGGATGGAGTGATCTGATAGTGCTGTGCCCCTCGGGGCTCCCCATTGCCCACAGGGTGGAGACCATGTGCCTGAGCACCAGCCAGGTGGAA